GAGTTACGAGAAAAAGTAATTGGTTTAAGGTCGATTGATGTTTCACATTTTGGTGATAACATTGCTTTGATAGGATTGCTAGTGTGGTTGAGGAGTTTGGCTTGATAGACAAGGTATTTTCTCGTGTCTCTAGACAATGCTTCACGCTAATTCTAGGGCATATGAGATTTTGCAAACCTATGTTCTTTGGTTATTTGGGTTCTTATCCTGCACCTACCCCCACCGATCCTAACAAGGTGCAAGATTTGCTTGTGCATCATCACGTTGTGCATGCCATATCATCAATCTTATTGTTAAATCGGCATGAAGAGGTTGAAACCTTATCTTGAAGATTTCAGAACTGCAATAAGTTTTTAAATTCCTCTAATCAAAGAATTGCATTGTTTAAAAACTACTTGCAAGGCTCGTGGTCTTAGACCTAGGAAGTTTGGCTTGGACATGGATGTTAGATGGAATTCTACTTTTTGATGCTCAAACATTTGCTGCCATACAAAGAAGTCTTTGATGTGTTTATTACCTCTAATTATGGTTCTACTTTGTTGACTACACAGCATTGGCATGTTGCTGAACAAATAATGATATTCCTAGAACTCTTCTATAACTCTACTGTTGTGCTGTCTGGGGTTTATTATCCCACAACTCCACTTGTTTTGCACCATATGCTTGACATGGTGAACATTTGCAAAATGCTTTGAAAAAGATGCTAATTTTAGAATGATTGCTACTCCTATGAAGCTTAAATTCCTTAAATATTGGGAGAAAATTCCACTCATTTATTCATATGCATTCATTCTTGATCCTAGAGCTAAGATGAAAGGGTTCTTTAATGTGCTTGAATTGCTTGGTAAGGCAATCGGATGCATTTATAGTTCATACTATGCTGATGTAAAAGATGAATTGTATAAATTGTTTGGCAAGTATGAATGAAATTTGGTGCAAAGGAGGTCTCGGAGGGTTTCAATCCTTCAACTCATACTTGGTAAGACAAAATGAGGCATGGGGAAGGATCTTTGGAGGTCCCGGTGATTCCCTGTCTCTTCTTCCCCTCACTCATACTCCATCTGTTGTTAGTGAGCTCAAAGCATACTTGGACAAAGTGACCTGTCACATGTTATGAGGAATCCTTTGACATACTCCTCTGGTGGCGTGACCACAAGCTAACTTATCCAATCCTGTCTATTATGGCTCGAGATATTATGTCCGTCCCCTCGTGTCTCTGTCTCTTCCGAGTCCTGTTTGTTTGTACATCCAGGATACTCGAAGATCGGTGGCGGCGCTTTTGTTGCTGAGCATGTTGAGATGCTCACCGCATCAAGGACTGGAGCAAGGTGCAAGAAGAGAACAAACATACACACGAGGACTGGGACCTTGAGGAGGCATTCAAGAACCTCTTCCTCGATGAACAAGGCGGGCGCTGCTCCGTGATGTCGTCGTGGCAATGGCGGTAGTACTCTGTGTCTGCTGGTGGATAGAAGAAGAAGAAGAAGAAGAGAAGATGAGAGGTAGTCACTCAACATTCAAGTTCCATTTTACATCATTTCTTTACATTCAAGTCTTCTTTGGTACTAACATTGCTTTGCTTGCGGGAACTTTTGGTGTGCTAGAGTGAGTCACTATGATCAATGAAGGAAGAACTTTGCCACCGATGACCTGATGTTGTAATAGGATAGAACTTTTTTTCGCTCCTGCCTTCCGGCTTCCTATTGCGTGATCTGTGAACTCACTAAGTCACAATGACTTTGCCATCGATGTTGGCTATCCTAATAGGATAGAAGTATAGAACTATAAGACCTTGACATTTAGAGTCGGTTTGCACTCTTTTTCCCTTTCTAGGGTTTCTCACAAGGTGAGTTTTACCTAGAAAGGTTTTTAATGAGGCAAGATTGCACAAAACAACTCATTCGAATATAAGTTCATCATCATATGATCATCATCCGTGTCTTTGTGTCTGTCTGTCTTCTCTCTTTTCTGTGAAACTATGAACTATGAAAGAAGTGTGAACTTTGATTACGTGAAGTGTGATTGTGTGAATCTGTGAAACTTTGATTCTATGAAGTGCATCATGGGCCATGGGCGGCACGGCCCGGTGAAAATGGCCGTGCCCAAGGCGGCACGGCAACGCAACGCAAAACGCGCCCACGGGCCGTGCCATGGGGGCCGTTGGCGAGCCACGAAACACGCTTTTCAGGCACGCACACGGCCGCACAGACGACGTCCGTCGAGGCCGCGATGCCGTGCGTCGCGTCTTAAGACGGCACGCCGCACGCCAGACCCACCGGGCCGGCAAGCCGACGGCCCGATGGCCATCTATACCTCTTGGTCAGCCCATTTTCATAGTCCAAAGGCCCAAAGAAAGACCAAAGGTGTGTACCACTACCACGTTAATCAACTCATCTCCATAGTCCAAAGGCCTAAAGATCACACACATTGCTAAACCAAAATAACCACTCGCCGCCTACAGTTCTGACTCCGTCCTTCTCCTTCTTCTTAGCCCCCGGAGATGAGATGATAGAGAATCAAGCTATTTTATTCCATAAACCCCAAAATACGAGAAGTGAAATGGTAATGGACCATCCCATTTTTTTAAAAAATCAAACACACCCTTAGTGCCTGACTTCGGTGCAACATTTAGAGGTACTATTTGAGTATGAGTACTGAAGGGGAAAAAAAGTTTCCACCTCTACTGTTTCAATTGACCCCAACTAGAGCGATGCTTTTCATCTACACGTTGGGCATGAATTTTTAAAATGTATTTATTTTTCTTAACAATACAATAAAACCAGTGGGTTATATACCTTATGTCACTATATTACCAATCCTGAAAATGCTATGAACAGAGCTGTAAACAAATCTAAAAAACTGTTTTTAGATCTTTTCATGGTTATTCTGAGTTTCGAGGTGTGCTTCAAAGTTTGGGAACCAAAGGCATGGCTTTTGTATTTTCCTAAATTATATGTCAATAAAAAAAATGTATATTATTAAATTATCTTAATACATACTCTCCCGTCCTAAAAGAGCGCCACATATATTCTTATGCAGTTCAAACTTTTTAAATTTGAGTAGGTTTATTGAAAATATTAGCTTACATTTGTACCTCCAAACAAATTTATTATAAAAATATTTAATGATTAGTCTAATGATACCTATTATGTACCATAAATATTAATATATGTTTAGTTAAAATTAAAAATATTTGAATTTTTGATAAGTGAAAATGACACTCTTCTCAAGACAATGTTGGAAGTATATGATTTAAAATACGTCGCAAAAAAAAAAGTATATGATTTAAAATAACTCCTGGCGCAATTGTCCGAAACAAAATTACCACCTGCACCCAGCTCGGCAGCTCAATTCCAAAAAGCCCCAAAGCCCACAACCATCTAAGAAAAACGTTCGCTCGCCGCCTCGCCTCCATCCATTCCCTGCCCTTCCCGTTGCGAAGTGTTCTCTCTTCTGCACTCGCGAAGCAATCACCTGCAGGCTTGCAGCTCCGCTCGCGTCGCGGCGCGACCGCCGCCTCCGCCCGTCGCGGGACTGATGGCCGCCGGATCCTGGAGCCTTGCAGCCACAATCGCCAGCGGTTGAAGGGGCACGGAAGGGAGGCTTGGCGGCGGCGGGTCGAGTACTGAGCGCCTGACTTCACATCGATTGCTCATCCCGGCAATCCACGGGTACTTCTTTCATTTTTTTTGTGCTAGTTTTATTAAATTTCGTCCCACTTCGTTGAAGTTAAGAGCTGTTGCATGTGCATTAGTGGCGGATTAATGGATGAATGGTGAATATTAACTGGTTCTAGGTTTTTCATTTGACGAATGTGGGTTCATCTCATCTGTGATATTCTAGGGTCAAGATCTGGGGATAAATTGGGATACCCTGTAGTTAGTTACACTGGGTCAGTTGTTTTTAATAAACCTAGTGTTACAAATGTGAAGTTAAACAACCTCAGAACTGACTGTAAAGTAAGCATGGATCATATTGTTCTTATAAATCAGAGGGATACAAAGCCGTGCTTCAGCAGCCGCTTCATATTATCTTTACAACCTTTGTAGTTTTAAACCACGGTAGGTTTCTTCCATTTGTATTTAACCTAGATTTTCGTATCGTAGTATCTTTACAAACTTTGCAGTGTACAAGGGTAAAGTGGTGCAACCTGGATCATTCCGGCTCTAGCTTCGCCCCTGCATTGAGATCGAAAGCTCAAGGTCCTATCCGTGCGGTGAGAAGCTGAGAACAATCATGTGCTTGTGGTGGTGAGAGCGCAGATGATGCACCCAGAACCAACAATGAAGCATGCAGGTGGCCCAACCAGTGCCGTGGACCGGCTCAGTGCCCTGCCGGATGAGCTCCTCCATGTCATCCTGTCCTTCCTCCCGGCACCGCTGGTTGTGCAGACGAGCTTGCTGTCACAGCGGTGGAGGCGCCTCTGGCGGTCCACCCCTCTCATCAAAATCGACGAACAAGACTTTGGAATCTCTATAATGGACAGGGCCAGCACCCTGGAGGGCAGGTGGGCAAAGTTTGAGTATTTCGCCACCAACCTGCTGCTGTTCCATGATAATACCTCAGCCTTGGGTGGATTCCGCTTGCATTGTCAAGTCTATAATTGGCGTCATGTGGATCGATGGATTCGCCGTGGCATTGAGTACTGTCCTTCTGTGCTCCAGATTGAACTAGTAGGCCATGTTCCTGGGTTCAAGCTTCCTCCCATGTTGGAATCAAATTTCCGTTGTCTTAAAAGGCTGCGCCTTACGCATATTATTTTGAATAGCCATTTCACTGGCTCTCTGTGTTCTGCATGCCCTGTCTTGGAAGATATGAATCTCAGTTAATGTGAGTTTTGTGACATTTGTCCTCAATGCATTATATCACCCAAGCTGAATAAGTTAGTAATGGAGTTTTGTTCGAATAATACACGTTATCCTTTGGTGATCACGGCTCCTAGCCTTACCTATCTCTGTCTCTCATTTGGAAACTTTCTAGCTGGTATTTTGTTATGCAAAATGGATTCCCTTGTCAAAGCAAAGATTTCTGTCCCAGAAGATGAAATATCTGAGGAGAACCAGCGCGAGCTTCTTGGTAGCCTGTGCAATGTGACAAGTTTAGAGTTGATTGGTTTTGAAGCAGAGGTATCTCTTCTCGACGAGCTTCCCTTTGTTCTCCTTTGCATTCCTTATCCCTAAAAGATGGCCATTTGAACAAGAATATTACACATATGTGATCACTGATGCTTGCTGCTCTTATATGAGATTTGCCATTTGCTTCTGATGGAAAAATTTTATACAGTCTTTGTTTCATCTAGGGTAGCATGTTTTTCATCTAGTGGATAGTTACTCACATGCGTGGCTCAAAAATAACAGATTATTATCTCGTCACTTTCTGCGTATGGCTGATGCATTTACTTAATCCTGGTTCGATTTCTATCTTCATTTCAGGTGATGCTGAATGAGAATCCTGATGAATTTCCAATATTTCATAATCTGCGAACCTTGAGCCTTCATAGCTGTTTTCTTAATGGATATGAACTGACTGACAAATTGGAGGCTTTAGGGAGCTTTCTTAAGAATGCACCTTGTTTGGAGAAGCTTAGTTTGCAGTACTGCATGGTAAGTTCTTATGTCTTAGGCATATTGTCATTTCTATGATCATTCACTTGGATATCTTACATGAGTCTTTTATTTCGGCCAAAAGTTCTACTCATTTTTCTGATTCGGGGTGGGAAATAGAAAGTAGAAACATCACCCTACCCCGTCATGATGGAAAGATTCTCCGTTGTCAAAAGCTGAAGTTGATAGAAGTCGGCTATGATCATGACCATGATCACCAACTAATTGAACTAGTGTGGAGTCTTGGAAGGAGCTTACCAGATGCCAATATCAAACTTAACAAAATTGATAGGTTTCCTCCGTAGTCCATTTCTCTTTGCAGTGTTCCATGAGGCTTTCAAGTCTGTGAAACCTCTACCTCAAGCATATTGAGTGGATGTGTATGTGAACACGTCTGGGCGTGCATAGGGCGTATGGTCTTCATTTCTGTGTTACTATTGTGATGATGCGTAAGTTGATTCGTCAGGATGAATTTACGTTTGCAGTCATGGTTTGGGTCAATTTTATATCATTTGGGGAACATAGGTAATTTGATCCCATGCACTACATTATATATGTAATGTAAGTTTTCGAAATTTTATTTGGTTGCGGTTGGACATGGTTACACCTGTGTGGTGCTTTTGTAGAATTTGAACCCCCGTAAAGTCAATTTTTGTGTTTTTTTTGTTCATTGTATAATCTTAATAGGTCAGCTGCCACAACCTATAGGAACTCAAAATCACAAGGACGTAAAGACATCTGTTTGGTACAGTAGCAATGGAGGTAAAATGGAATCAGGAAACACGAGAGTTCAATAGACAATAGGAATGCATTTGTAAAATACGAGCACTGAAAACACACAGATTACGGCTCTGTTCGGCTGGCTGGAAAAATGGCTGATGCTGATTTGTTGTGAGAGAAAAAACACTGTTATTTCGTTGAAACGGTACACTGTTATTTCGCTAAAACGGTATGGCTGATAAGTTCAACAACAACAATAATGACAAAGCCTTTAAGTCCCAAACAAGTTGGGGTAGGCTAGAGTTGAAACCCAGCAGAAGCAATCAAGGTTCAGGCACGTGAATAACTGTTTTCCAAGCACTCCTATCTGAGGCTAAGTCTTTGGGTATATTCTATTCTTTCAAGTCTCCTTTTATTGCCTCTATCCAAGTCAACTTCGGTCTTCCTCTGCCTCTCTTCATGTTACTATCCTGGCTTAGGACTCTACTACACACCGGTGTCTCTGGAGGTCTTCGTTGGACATGTCCAAATCATCTCAATCGGTGTTGGACAAGCTTTTCTTCAATTGATGCTATCCCTAATCTATCATGTATATCATCGTTCCGAACTCGATCCCTTCTTGTATGACCGTAAATCCAACGCAACATACGTATTTTCGCGACACTTATCTGTTGAACATGTCGTCTTTTTGTAGGCTAACATTATGCACCACACAACATAGCAGGTTTAATCGTCGTCCTATAAAACTTACCTTTTAGCTTCTGTGGTACCCTTTTGTCACATAGGACACCAGATGTTTGACGCCACTTCATCCACCCTGCTTTGATTCTATGGCTAACATATTCATCAATATTCCTGTTTCTCTGTAGCATTGATCCTAAATATTGAAATGTATCATTTCTAGGCACTACTTGACCTTCTAAACTAATATCTTCCTCCTCCCGAGTAGTAGTGCCGAATTCACATCTCATATACTCAGTTTTAGTTCTACTGAGTCTAAAATCTTTAGACTCCAAAGTCTTCCGCCATAACTCCAGTTTCTAATTCACTCATGTCCGGCTTTCATCAACTAGCACTACATCGTCCGCGAAAAGCATACACCAAGGGATATCCCCTTGTATGTCCCTTGTGACCTCATCCATTACTAAGGCAAACAGATAAGGGCTCAAAGCTGACCCTTGATGTAGTCCTATCATAATCGAGAAGTCATCCGTGTCTCCATCACTTGTTCGAACACTAGTCACAACATTGTTATACATGTCCTTAATGAGCCGACGTACTTCGTTGGGACTTTATGTTTGTCGAAAGCCCACCACATAATATTCCTTGGTATTTTATCATAAGCCATCTCTAAGTCAATAAAAATCATGTGTAGGTCCTTTTTCTTCTCCCTATACCGCTCCATAACTTGTCTTATTAAGAAAATGACTTCCATGGTTGACCTTCCGGGCATGAAACCAAATTGGTTCATAGATACCCACGTTATTGCTCTCAAGCGATACTTGATAACTCTCTCCCAGAGCTTCATAGTATGGCTCATCAACTTAATTCCTCGGTAATTAGTACAACTTTGAATATCCCCTTTATTCTTGTAGATCGGTACCAATATACTTCTCCTCCACTCATCAGGCATCTTGTTCGATCGAAAAATATGATTGAACAGCTTGGATAGCCATACTATAGCTATGTCCCCGAGGTATCTCCACACATCGATTGGAATACCATCTGATCCCATCGCCTTACCTTCTTTTATTCTTTTCAACGCCTCTCTGACCTCAGATTCTTGGATTCTCCGCACAAAGCGTCTATTGGTATCATCAAAAGAGTCATCCAACTGAAAGGTTGTGTCCGTATTCTCACCATTGAACAATTTGTCAAAATACTCTTACCATCGATGTTGGATCTCATCATCCTTCACCAAGAGATGCTCCCTTTCATCCTTAATGCACTTAACTTGGTTGAAGTCATTTGTCTTTCTCTCACGAACCCTAGTCATTCTATAAATGTCCTTCTCTCCTTCCTTCGTACTCAAATGTTGGTAAAGGTCCTCGTACGCTCTACCCTTTGCCACACTTACAGCTCGTTTTGTAGTCTTCTTTGTCACTTTGTACTTCTCTATGTTGTCCACACTCCTATCATGGTACAAGCGTCTATAGCATTCTTTCTTCTTCTTAATAGCCCTTTGGACTTCCTCGTTCCACCACCAAGTATCTTTAGCCTCGCCTCCATTTTCTTTGGTTACTCCACACACCTCTGAGGCCACCTTTCGAATGTTGGTTGACATCTTCTCCCACATGTTGTTTATGTCATCTTCTTCCTTCCCAGAGCCATTTTTTATAACCCTTTCCCTGAATACCTCCGACGTCTCCCCTTTCAATTTTCACCACTTTGTTTTTTCAATCTTAGCTTGTTTATCCCTACGGGCACGCACTTGAAAACGAAAGTCTGCCACTAAAAGCTTACGTTGAGAAACAACACACTCCCCTAGTATCACCTTACAACCCAAGCATGCTCGTTTGTCCTTTCTTCTTACGAGGACAAAGTCAATTTGGCTAGAATGTTGTCCACTACTGAAGGTCACTAGATGAGATTCTCTCTTTCTAAAAAAAGCGTTGGCTATCATCAGGTCAAAAGTTACCACGAAGTCCAGAACTTCCTCCCCCTCTTTATTCCTACTACCATACCCAAAACCTCTATGAACTGCCTTGAAACCTGCGCTTGTAGTACCTACATGCCCATTAAGATCTCCTCCTATAAAAAGCTTCTCACTACTAGGTACAACTCTAATCAGGTCATCTAAGTTTTTCCAAAACTGTCTCTTAGCACTCTCGTCGAGGCCTACTTAGGAGGCATACGTACTAATTACGTTCAAGACCATGTCACCGACGGCTGATAAGTCGAAGCGAACCGGAATTATTGTTTGAATGGAATGAAAAAAAACTGGAGCGAGATGGCAAGGAAGTCTCCCATGCTGTTAACTGTCATTATACTATTTCGTTAAGTCCTTATATAGAGGATTAAAAAATATTAAAACATAATTCTTACGGCCACGAGGGGGCACAATTGCCAGAATAATAGGGGAAATTTCATTTTACCACTTTAAACTATCGTTGTAGTTTGATGTTTTGCTCAAATTCTAAAATCAGACATCTTATCCTTTGAACTCTAAAAATCGTTCAAATTACCTCTTTATGCTGGTTTGAATTGGTTTCGAAGGGGTCATTTTTTAGAAAAAAGAATTTTGCCACTAATACCTTGTGTGGGCCTACTAGTCATCATTGTCTCGAAACCAGTCCACACGTCCCCAATCGGGAACAGAAGATCCCGGCGACCTCGCCAGCGCCAGGTAAGCCTAACCGTCGTACCCCACCGAGCAGCTCCCTCCACGCCCCCACGTAAACCTACCCACTGACCTGTGGGCCCTAAAGGGGTCTTCCTCCGTGGATCGCGTCCACCGCCTGGCCGCCCGGCCCTCGCCTTAAATCCCGGGCGGTGTCAGACCTCCGACCTGACCCAGAACCCCTCGCTGCCCGACCGGAGGCGCCGCCGACACAGCCCCGCGCCGCTGATGGAGATGGCCGGCCCCGTCTCCTCGGCGCCCCGGACCGTGGAGGACATCTACAAGGACTACGCCGGCCGCCGCGCTGGCCTCGTCCGCGCTCTCACCTCCGGTAACGTCGAGGACACGCCCCCCTCCGTCCCTCCCTTACTCTCCCTCTCTGCCGTTCTCGCGCGCGCCTCTTCGCCGGATCTCGCGTCTCACACCATGCCGGTTTCCTTTGCTTGGCTGCTGCTGCTGCTTGCAGATGTGAACGAGTTCTACAGCATGTGCGACCCAGGTAAACACCGGATCCGATCTGAGCCGCGGCGGCGGCGCTTTGGTTGCGTTCGCTCCTGCCGCTGTTTGTTTGGGGTTTGACTGGTTTCTCGGGGTACGTGTAGAGAAGGAGAACCTGTGCCTGTACGGTCTCCCCAACGGCGGCTGGGAGGTGTCGCTGCCGGTGGAGGAGGTGCCGCCGGAGATGCCCGAACCGGCGCTCGGGATCAACTTCGCCAGGGACGGCATGAAGCGCCGCGACTGGCTCTCGCTCGTCGCCGTGCATTCCGACGCCTGGGTCGTCTCCGTCGCATTCTTCTTCGCCGCCAAACTCAACGCCAACGAGAGGTACTGTGCTCCGGGCTACGCCCCTCCATTAGATTGACTGGGAGCGCTCGGTTTGCTTGGTCTGTTTAATTCTCGTTACCGTCAATCTTGGAGAATTCGATTCTCGTAACCGCTTGATTTTTGTCTTGTCTGCGTTATGGTTTATGGTGGTGTCGCTGCTCCTGTGCTTGTGGGGTTTATGGGTTTGCTTATTTTATTTCACAGCACCTGCAGCATGTTTCCGTGCACATGGTTATTGTGCTTTCATGGTTTCCACTTATCTTCTTATCTTGCTGTCAATGGGCCATGTTTTTGCTTTCGCTTTATGATTTGGTCCTTAATTTGCTACAATGGCACATAATGTGCAAATAGTCTCCCAGCCCCACCCCGTATCTTCAAGTGAAAAGAAATTCGGAAGCTTCTTGTGGGATCGTTGACAAGTATAGGTCTCTTTGGACCAGACAACATCTTTTTTTGTCTTTCATATTTACACTCTACAATATGTAGT